ATAATTTTTAAATGTCAAAATGTTCAGCAAATAAATTATCCAAAATCTGATTCCCAGTAGTGATAAAAGTCGGACAGTAGGCACTATCAGATTTTTATAAAAATAATTATCCGTCTAAAGAGTACGAAATTTCCAAAGGACTCTAGACACAAAGGAGAGCCTATGGTAAAAAATAAAAAATAAAAAATAAAAAATAAAAAATAAAAAATTGAAAGCATTTGGCGAACCACAGCCCCCAGGTAAGATTAATGAATCTCTGCGCGCACACACACACACACACACACACACACACACAAAAAAAAAAAAAAAAAAAAAAAAAAAAAAAAAAAAAAAAAAAAACCTTATGTTTGTTCCAAGTTCCAAAATCAGGCTATAACTCATATAAAACCTGATCAAAAGTAACACAAATAATCCCGAACAATTCCCATTGCACTAATCTAATAAACACCAAACAAAAAGGATCACAAACAATCTCAATATCGCATAGTGGTTATTTAAAATTTCGTACAAAAGCTAATAGGACAGCAGGCTTAATTAGAAGAAAAATCGGAGCAACAGTTCATAAACAATTCGAAAAAAATTAATTTTTTTTTTATTGAAATGGATCAAACAAAAATGATTTGAAAACTAGACTCAAAGGGTAATAAGCTATAAATAAAGTTTTTGGCAAACTTTGTCAATTTGAAAAATATCCGGAGCTAAGAAAATTCCAATAAATTTGTTTTTAGAAATTAGACTTAGGAAAGTATAAAATTGAAAATTTTGATAAAGATCCGGTGTCAAGAAGTTGGTCAAATATATTATTGAAAAATCTGATTTCCAACAGGTATAAAATTCGGACAGCAGGTGCTGTCGAATTTTTAAAAAAATATCTGTTGATTCAAAAATTTTGAAATTAATTTCAGAAGTTCTGGACATGTAGAAAAACCTGTAATAAAAGTTTCGTAGCAATTAGAACACTACAACTCCTTGGAGAAAATATTTATTCAAACAAAATTAAAAGAAGAAAATTCCTGCCCCAAAATAGTCCCTTGTCTTTCTTAATCATCAAACCAACCACTCAAACTCACTGGGAACATTAACAACAAGTCTTTAAATTTCCATAGTTTCCTTTATATACTATCATAGTCACGTGTTTACATCATTTTCTAAAATTACAATGGAATCAAGTATTTTATCAAACCCATTATCTACATGAACAGGATGGTCACAAATAAGCATTTTCAGCAACTCCATTTCCTCCAATTGATCACAGCACCTGAAAAATAATAGGGTGAGACACAAGGTCCCAGTAGGAAATACACTAACAAGTGTTGCTAAGGGATCTCAGCACAGAAATAGCCATGAAAAGCATGCTATGAAAATTTGAGGAAATTATATCCATAACAAATACACATACATGAACCAAATTTTTTTTAAACAGATCAATTGCAAGGGACTCAGCAAAGATGCCTAAAATCAAGAAGGTTTTTTGAGAAAGAGAAACATATATTATTTCCTACAATAACAGCATTTCCATGGCCACAAGGGTTGAAATTAGGAGCCAAATCACACAAAGCAACAAGTGTTAGAGCAAACCTACCTTAACTGAACACAAGAAAGAAACGATGATGAAATATGGTGGCCATGAAAGTACATAATCCGGCCCTCTTTGCCTTCCTCTTTTTCCTTTCTATAGCTTCACCAAATTCATACTCTAAACCTCCCAAAATGGAGCTTTTAGCATGGAAGTATATGTGTGTAGATAGATATAGAGAAAGAAGGATCAAATGTAGAGAGAGACAGGAGTTGGCCGAAAATGGGAAAAGGAAGAAGACTAGGCTTGGTCTTCATTTTTGCTTTGTGGTCCCAATGCATTTTGTGGTTAGTAGCTTTTTGGCAAGTTACTCCTTTGCCCTTTCCCTTCCCAAGCAATGCCATCAAAGTCCCTAAAATATCTACCTCAATGCATCGATATATATATATGTATATGCATGAGAAAAGTCAATTATGCCCCTCACTCAAAATGGCAAAATCGGGAGAGGTTCCCGAACCCGGAAATCGTCCCGACTTTCAAAAATTCCTAAAATCAATTCTATTGCCTCCAATTGTCTTAAAGTAATTAAAATATATATTTTTAAAACGCTCGGCTCAAGAGAATGACCAAAACGACCCTCGGAGCCCGCGTGGCACGAAAAAATAAATAAATAAAAATTTGAAAAAAAAAATCCAGAATATTCGGGACATTACAAATTGCTACAGATTATAGAATAATAATAATCATGCATGTGATTGTATATATATATGAACTTAGAGCATCTGCAATGCAAAATGCTATATTTTCATGCCAAAACTATATTTTAAGAAGAGCTACAGTGTCAAAATGCTATTTTTTGACACAACAACCATTCTATATTTGGAGAGCCTATTGGGTTGCCTTATATTCATTTTAGCAACTTTTGACAATCTCAAAATATGAGAGCTTTTTTGAGAGAGCCCATTGGAGTGTCTATTTTTATCCACTTGCTATATTTTGAGTTTGAGAGATCATTTGAGAGTTGCTATATTTGAGAATATATTTGAGAATCTCAAAATATGTCATTGGAGTGCCTTATTTTCATCCACGTGCTATATTTTGAATTTGAGAGCCTATTTGATAGGCCATTAGAGATACTCTTATGCATACTTGTATATACGTGTATAATGGAGGATCATTGTCAGGATATGGCATTAACAACACCATTGTCGGGATATGGCTTGCTAATACATATATTGGTTGGCTAATAAGTCTAGACTTATACGTTTGTCATACCATTGTCAGGATGTGGTTGTGACCTTAAACTGTATTATTGTCAAGATATGGCCATAGTTACACACATATGTATATTTTGATTGTGTATCACGATATGAGCTTGAAATCTCGAGATCGACGGTTAGGGATGGCATATATTACCAGATGAGATAGGTAGCTAGATATAGGAATATGTGTGCCCTAGTAGAAGAGGTACTCGTGACCAGCTCGTGTGCGCTTGCATAAGACTTACTATCCGGTTAAGTCTGCCTTATAGTCCAGTGATAGTCTATAGTGTGTATACTTATATATATTAACCTATGTAGCTATTGCATGAGTCGGATTAGGATGCATCGTTTATTGGGTCTCTATTTGGGATATAATAGAAAGGGCTTATTCGTGGGTTTTGACCCACCTTTATTGCTATCGTTTCAGATCCTCTTCAATTCTAAGCATAGGGTCCGTTCATGCAGAGCAGAGACCAGTCCTCTTCACTCTTCCAGTGTCATCAACGTAGGACTCTTCACTATGTTTTTATTACTTTTGAGTTAGACATTTTATATTCATCTATCGGTTTGGGATTTTTTATTAGGAGTTCACATAGTATGAATTCCCGAGATGTACTCTGGTGGTTTTTTATTATTATTGGGATTTTAGAAATTATTTATCAAAAGTTTATTTTGAGGAGCTATTCAGAGTAATTATTATTCAAATTCTATTAATTTAGATTTCTTTTCAACAACATTATTATTTATTCATAATTTATCTTTTCTAATTTGTCCTTGATTATTATTGTTTGGCATTCCTTGATTTTGTGCGATCAACCCGTGTTCCAAAATTATGAGGTATCACAATTGATATCAGAGCACTTTAGCTTCAAGTGTCTCCAAGGTTAAGTTCGTTATAAGACTTCCGTGTTGTGTACTTCCCTATTTTTTTAATTTTTTTTCCAAATATGCAAATTGCATCTCTGAAAACATCAATTTTTCTCACGGCTTGTTGGTATTATGACTGAAAGCATTCAATTATTAATTTTTATGTGCTTTCAACTCTAATTTTATTTCATTAATAAAACAAGAATAAAACTTATCTTATTTTAATTTTATTTTTTCAAAAAAATATTCCAAAATCACATTTTTGTTTCTCAGGCTTGAAAATCAATTTTTTTTCCAAAAAAAATTAGTTTTCTATTCCAGAAAAATTCATTTTTTCTCTTTGAATTTCTTTAGCATTACAAAGACCATCTATATATCACCTGAACTTTTATGCGAAACACAAAAAAAGTAAATTTTTGTTTCAGAAATATACAAGAGTGAAAATGGTTCTCGAATCAGCAAAAAAAATAAAATAAAATAGTTCTCTAATTATTTCCATTCCCACTATGATTTGCAAAATGTATGTCAGAAACTAAAAGGCAACAAGATGCACCTCTTGGAAGCCATGCGTTATGAGGACCTCTTTGGCTTGGTAATAAATGTTTTGTCTGAAACAATTTAATATGGCATTCAATATGGCTTAGGCAACAATTTTACGTCATGCAAAAACCTATATATATATATATAATAAATGAAGCCAATTCGAATTAAAAACACACATTGTAGACAGATTGTGTATATATACATATATTTATTATTAGCATATGCCTCGATAGTTGAGTTGGTTAATGCTTTCGGTGAATTTTAGAATATCAATTTCAGCTCTCTGCACCTACTAATTTAACTTCTAATATTTACTTTGTCAAAAAAAAAAGTAAAAATATAAAAAATACATATATATATATATATATATATATATATATTATAAACACATACTTGGAAGTCTAATAGCAGAGGAACTTGAGCGGTTTAATTATTAACCTACCCTTCTTCTCCCTCCAACACCACCATCACAGATTTTGGGTTTCTAGATTTTCTTCTCTCTTTCACCTTGTTCCTCTCCTCCGTCTTTATACTGGTTTTTGGCCTGAAAATAGGATGGATAGATGGTGGCAAGAGCGATGGCGGAGACGGCAAGGCGCGGCAAAGCAGTGGAGAAGGCGGCAAGGCGAAGCGTTGTGATGATAATGGATACTCTGTAGTTGGGGATGAGGTAGGGGTTGATAATGGATACTCTGTAGTTGGGGATGAGTTAGGGGTTAAAGGCAGTGCTAATAGCATTAGTTAGGGTTAAGAGCATAATATACATATTATCAACCGTTGGATCGGAAAAATTAAAGGGTCCAAATTTAAAATATCATTGGTTTGAAAAAAAAAAAAAAAAACTTCAAAAGGGAAGGCCCAAGTTAAACAAAACAAACAAACCCAAAAGGTGTTACCACTGGCCCACCCATTAATCAACGAACCTAACTACCCTTATACCAGACCTGGGTATAGTAGGTGAAGGAGAAGAGAAGGTGTTTTCTTTCGGAGGGTTCGAAGAAAGACAAAGGTAGATTCCAAGGAGAAGAAAAGAAGGTGTGTCTTTCGGAGGGTTCGAGGGTTTCAGCAAAGGGACTCTGGCATCGCTTGATGGAGAATAGCCGAAGCCGAATTGAATCAACAATGGAGATCAATGTTTTCAGAGGAGGAGTGGGTTTGCATAAGCTGAATATTAGATTATTTCTCTCCTTCCATAGATGATTGTCAAAGCTGGCCAAGGTAAGTTTCCAATTTAAGACTCGACTATATTTCAATTTGTTTTCAATTCCAAGATGCCCAAATCAGAAAGTCATTCTAGCTATTAGGGTTTGTAAACATTCTAATGATAACATACTCGCACAAATTGAAATAGAGTACAGAATAATTCTTCTGAGTGATCATATGAGAACAATTAAACTAGGTTTATAAAGAGATACATCATGGTTTATAATCAGTAGCATACTTGCATTTATAAAACTGATATAACAAAATCTTCAATCAACAGTTAAATTCGTGAAAAGAATAATTAGACTATGAAGGTAAAGAAGAACAAACATAATGCATCTAATAATTCATGTTGTTGGGAAGAAAGTTTTTCCGGATTAGTATCCTGAGGTTTTAAGTTCAAGTCTTTTTAAGCAATATATCAATTATTGCAAATTCATTATAGCCAATTTGCTTGTTTTTAACAATTACAAGTTGAATACTGATATGGATATGTCATGTACCTTAGCTATCTTGTACGTATTCATACATACACAAGTGCAACTGTGCAAGTCTGCAAGGAGTCCAATGAGTAGCAGAATATAGATACTGAATCAATGAGTATATATTTCAGGAAAGGCACACAATTTTCACACCAACATTAACAAAACTTGCTCTGAATTAATGTATCCATTTAGAATGACTCCATTCATTCTCAAAGCTCATGTACTGATCAACATAACTCCATTACATCCATTACTGCTTCTTCTTTTTTTTTTTACTGCTTTCGTTCAAACTCGTTAAATTTAAAATGTGAATTCTTTGTGCAGGAACGTAGCACGAAGTGGGATGACACGCAGCACCCAGTAACAAGATGCCTCAGTTACAGCAGTAATGAGTAATCTGCCTTGGCCTGGACTTAGGTTCTTTTTCTTCCTCCCATCTATTCCTTCTTTTACACTTTTGTGGTTGAGTATAAGATTATGACCGAATATTCTTCACTGAGTTTGTCAAGAAAGTAAAAAAGTTGAGGAAGAAAACTTGCGGACGAATTGGCTTGCTTCTGACTTAGACTGTCCTTTATCCCTCTGCTTAGAATCAGCAAGAAAGAAAATGGAGGATATTTAAAGTTGAGCTAACCTTTTTTTGGGAGAATTTATTGGAGTGGCAGTGGTTGTGTTGTTGTATAGGTAGCTTGTTGGCATTCCCTTATGTTGCCTCTCATTTTACAGTCTATATTTGTGATCTGCAGCTAGTTTGATTGTCATTGGTTCAGGTTTGTCAATATTCTTGTAATTATATAAAGATCATAGTTCTCATGATTGTGCCCTATTCATTTATACTTATTGTTGTTTATGATTATTCTCTACACATCAATGCTTTGTAGTGGAATTCGTATGCATTGGGCATTGAGGTTGTGTCATCTTCAAGGTTCCGAATGATGGAAGCTTATAAAGCACTATGCTTGAAAATGAAGTGATTCGAAAAAGGAGCTTGTGCTCGTAGTTGGCCAACATGTTTAACCTTGGTGAAGCTTCACTCCCCATCATTCTCATAGCTTGTGCCTGTAGTACTGCAACTTGATCGATGTCATCTCTTACAAGTAATTTGGGTATCTGTCCTTTAAATCTTAGCCTTTTTATTGTTGTTGCCATTCTTTTTCTACTAAAATGAAGAATTTTAGATGAGCGTAATAGAGGCGCTGTCCTTTAAATCTATTATATGAAGCAAACAACACAATCCACTTTGACATAGTGCATATTTTCCGTTTTTAAAGATAATGCGAGGAAAGTTTCTAATGATATAGGGTAAATAGAAAATAGTAAGATTAATTCTTCCAAATGATCACATAAGAACCATTAAACTAGATTTATAAAGAGATGCAAAGTAGTTTATATTTGGTAGCATATATAAAACTGATATAACAAAATCTTCAACGAGTTAAATTTGTGAAAGGATAGGTAGATGTGAAGGTAAAGAAAAACAATCAGAATGGCATCTAATAATTCATTGTTGTAACGATCACAGGTTTTCAGGATTTATATCTTGGGGTTTTAAGTTCAAGCCTTGATTTAAGCAAATATCAAATATATCCACCATGCATGGTTTGAGCCTTTTGCTAAATTCTCAGGCCTGATATGGATGTTTTTATGTACTCTATACATATATATACATGTGTGTATGTATATACAAGTGCAAGCCTGCAAGGAGTATAATAATTCACAGAATATTGGTACTGAATCAAGACAATATATGTTTTAGGAGAGGCACACAATTATCACACTAACATTATAACAAATTACCAAAAATATATAATATCATTGTCTAACTTTATTTTTCTGAACTTTATTGAGTACTGATCCTTTTCCATCGACAGCATACGAAAACCCACTGCTCATTCTGTCAGCGTCCACCTGAATCTCATTTGCTTCAACTGAATTTAAAACCTTGTGGCAAAAAGGAAAAGGAGAAAAAATGAATTTGAGCCCCTGTGAAGGCTGTGATGAAAAGAACTACAGACAACTATATGGCAGAAAATGTAAGTAGATGTAATCTTGGTTTTTTATGTACGTTAAAAGGCAATAAAGTTACTTAATTAAGGTCATCTATATGATCCTTCCTTATGAGTAAAGAAAACACATTTGATGTCTTTTAGTTCATATATACTACTTCCTTGGGTAGCTTCATTTCATAGTAATATTGTGAACATTTATAAAAAAAATAAATAAAACATTAAAACTGACATAAAGAAGAAATAATTAAATTATTCATTATTACTACATTATGCTAAGAATGAATGGTAATTGGTTATATATTCTCGATGCTCTGATTATAATTGAGAAAACCATGCATAGGCCAAGCACTATGCTTAAGAATATTGCTATAATAAATTTCTATTTCCAAATTGCAATAAGAGAATATCTCAAAAGTTTCATATAGACAAAAACCAAGGAAACAAAATCAAATACCCAAAGTATTCATTCATAGGAGCTTAAATATATAGTGCATTGGCTATAGTTTAAGGGTATTCTTGTGTGATATATATATATATATATATATATATATATATATATATATATATATGCGTGTGGGTGTGCGTTTGTACATGTGTTTGGAGAGAGAGAGCAAGACTAACCATTTTAGAGAGGAAATTATCCTCCCATTTCATCTTTGTGGAACTTTCTCTGCACCCAAGCTACCTTTACTGCAACTGCCACCAGTAGGTTGTTGAAAGTATTCTCCACAAACTGAAACCACGCATACCTCCAAGACTTTTTGAAATGCAAAATGCCACAAATTCCCAAGAAGCCAACCAAGAAACCCGGTCCAATGGCAGTATAGAATGCCAGACGTTCTTCCGACTCAGGAACATGTTGATCATGATGATGACCATCAGATGAAGTATCACCAGGGCAGCTCTTAAAGATTTGTGATCCACAAAGTTGATTATTGCCCATATAGATAGATGGATCATTGAGTGTTTGGAGTTGATTTCCTGTTGGTATTGGACCTGACAAGTTGTTGAATGACAAGTTCAAGTAGCTTAAGAAGTTCAAAGCGGACAAGCTTGGAGGGATTGAACCAGAAAGTTTGTTTGTGGACAAATCAAGTGATTCCAAAGCTGTCATATTTCCAATCTTCTTTGGGATCCTTCCACTTAGATGATTTTTGGATGCGTTGAAATTCCGCAACCCAATAAGATCCATCAACTCCTCAGGAATCTCTCCAACTATCTGATTATTTGAAACATCTATAGATGTGAGAAATGCGCGTGTTTTGGTGTATTCAACTTCAACTCCTTTAATGTAATTTAAAATGCTCTCTTGGTATTGTGGATACCACTTCTCTGTATGTTCCGCATTGGGATTCGCAACCATGGTAGTGAAGTTGGCAAAGCAGCGAGGAATATTTCCACTTATATAGTTATGTGATAGGTCTAACACTTGAAGAGCAGAGAGGTGGCAAAGTTGTGGAGAAATATAACCGTGGAACTTATTCGATCGAAGAGTGAGAAATTGTAGAAAAGACATTTCTCCAATCCATGAAGGGATAATATCAGTTAATTCATTATCACCTAGATCCAGAACGTTCAGATATGTCGAATTCTGCAAAGATGGGATCTTCCCATGAAGCTTGTTGTTACGCAAGTGTAACGATTCGAGCAGTCTCAGAGAACCTAGAGAACTTGGAATATGACCATCTAGATAGTTATTTGTCAGATCAAGCACTGCCAGTTGATCCAAGTCCCCCATGCACCAAGGGAGTGTTCCTGATAATTTATTTGTTGAGAGATCAAGTACTCGCATATCCATGGCCTTGCATATGTACTTCGGAATATTACCAGTCAAACTGTTATTTGAGATAAAAAGAACTCTAAAATTCAAATGAATATTATCATCACCGAGAGGAAAATGTCCTGAAAGTAAGTTGTCGGCCAAATCTAATTCCGTGACATCTGACAGAAATGGTGTTAAGGGGCCCTCAAACTTGTTGGAATTCAAATATAGATACCGCCCATAGATAGCATTAGATTCTTGAAACTTCGGCAACTTTCCACAAATCTGGTTGTAAGATATATCTAAGCCGTGGATACCAGAATACAAATCCTCAAACCAGTTGGGGATGGTATCTGAGATGCTTGCATTGGAAATTACCAACTCTTCAACAAGTTTTTGTGTTTGAAGCCATGGAGGAAATTGGGGTCCCAATTTGCAGGAAGACATGTGAATAAATTGGAGTTGAAAACGAGGAACCCATTGGATGCTCACATTCATAATTAACAAGTTTGAGGACATGTCCAACCGTACTAACCTTGTGAGTTTGGCAAAGTGAATTTCAGATATGATACCATCAAAAGAATTGTCAGATATATCAAACACCTCTAGCATCCTAAACTCTCCCAACTGATTCGGCAGAAAACCACTAAATTTATTTGAATGGAGATGTAACTCCTTTAAACTTTTTTGGAGGCAAGTAGACGTATTTCCCTGAAAAAATGGTACCTCTCCGGTGAACTTGTTATGAGACAAATGGAAACTGCTCAAGCTGCAGAGATTCCTTATGGTGTTTGGTATTTCACCTTCTAAATTGTTGTCAGAGAGGTCAAGGACAGTAAGTTGTGTAAGATTGCCTATCTCACTTGGGACTGAACCTTCAAAACTATTCCAAGAGAGATCGAGGACTGTGAGAGAAGTCAAGTTCCAAAGGCAAGGAAGAATTGGACCTCGGTAACTTATATATTGGAGTCCCAAATGAACAAGGCTGCTCATTTCACACAACCAACTAGGCATAATTGGGGAGTCTGAATATCTAGTGTCACCAAGATCAAGAAAAGTGAGAGATGACATCCTTCCAAGAGTATCAGGAATTGGACCTTGTAAATAGTTTAAGCCAAGATTGAGATGTTGCAAGTTGGAGAGGTTTCCAAATTGAGGGGGAATTTGCCCCACAAAATTTGAAAAAGAGAGGTCAAGATATCTTAGGTTCTTAAGGGAGCCAAGGAATTCTGGAATTTGGGTTCCTGGAAAATTATTAAAGCTCAAATCGATGTAATGCAAATGCCTTAGATTGAGAATAGAAGGACTTATCTCACCTTGCAACCTGGCTGCATCATATTTTTTTATATAATTGCTGTCAGTGAAGTATAAATAAAGATCGAGCGGAATTGGATTGTGTAGATCAAGCTTCACGACTCTGCGTGTCCTCTTGCTGCAGCCCACTCCCGTCCACGTACAACAGTATTCTCCAACCCACGACGGCAAACAACGATTTGAATGATCAACGAGAGATTCCCTCAACTTGAATAGAGCTTTAAGCTCACCCTCTGTGCAGCTTACATTTGATTGATGATCATCTCTACTAATTTGCAACCCAACACCAACTCCCAATTCTATGAAAACAAGAGCAAATAGTAACAATATCACAACAACACTTGTAACTCGTGTTCCCATGGCTTCTTGCAAGCAAAGTAGCTAGGCTGGAAGAAATGTAAGTAGAAGATTGAGTTTAGAGTGAAGTTTCACACCGTAAATGATATAGTAGTGTATTGACTTGAAAGCGCGTAGAGATCATGGATATTGATGCAACCGTGGTTCATACCAATTAATTTTTCTCTGTTTTCTTTTCATCTCACACGGCATTGACCTTGAGTTAGTCATCATGAATGCCATTTTTTCTTCATCTTCAGACTACGCATTGCGTGCTAACGGGGTCTGCAACTATTCAGGCTTGGTTGTCACTTTATGTGTTTTAAATTGTTTTAGGCAGTGGATTGATAATACGGAGTAATATATATTCTGAAAATTGGAACTTACAACAAATATGGTTAAGTGACCTGATCCTAATAGCCCTACTCTAAATGTGAAAAAAAAAAAAAAATCTAACCCATGACTCAGTTTCATATTAATTGATTTCTGTACTAGTAATTTTTATAGTATTTAACTATATATTATATATTTTGTTTTGTCTAAATGCTCCTTAATGATGTTGAGACTCAAATGTGAATTGCATATATGCTTAGCCTATCCAAGAGGATGCCCAAATCTTTGGTTCTTTCACTCAAAACCATATTGAAGAGGCCATGAAATTGAACTAATTCATGTTGATCCCTCTCTATACCTTTTTTGTGTGTATATTTCTACCTTACTCCTAATATATACTAATAACATTAACAACCCATTAACATTTCCAGGAACTATTAATCTGAAGCTCTTTCAATTGAAGAAGAAAATTTCCAACAGCAGCAGATTAAATAAGAATTCATCTAGTCAGATCGACAAACTTAACCGACAGCATTTACCCTTTAGTTTAGTCATTACTAAGGATAGCAATCAAACCCTTGATTCACTCTTCATTTTTTGTTGATGCAGCCGTGGTTCACACCAATTTTTCTTTGTTAGTTTTTTAATCTGTCAGTTCTTCCTCTCACTGTTCGTGACACGACATTGACTTGTAAAGTCTGAGTCAAGTCATGAATGGTCGTTTCGTGTTAGTGGGGGTTTGCAACTATGGACTAAAATCATCTCTTGTGAAACATTAATCATGTTCCTTACAAAAATATTGTGATGTTTAGCTCCATATTACAATAGTTCAAGAACAAGCATGAACAATGGTGAATTTATATAGGAATTTTACATGAATCATGGCACTTCATTTTTCATAGTTTGCCAGAGGAATGAATTCCTCGAGATTTCTTAACTCTTGCTTTCCGTGTGCGTGTTAAAAGCATTGTTTGTTCTTTTGAGTCTATGGTTAAAAAATTCTATGTAGAAGAATCATCACTTCACTTTTTGTTAGTCAAATTTCTGTAACAACCCTAGATGCCAAAATTAAAAAAAAAAAAATTCGGCATGACCTTCGCTAAAATTCGTCCTACAACAACCTATTCAAATGTATTTTTTAACCTGTCCTAAAACAAATACAATTAACATACTCCAACATCCCATCCATCCGTTCATTATACCTCAACATGGCTCATCTCATAGTGGAACATCTGCATACCATTTAATCCAAATTATCATAATTACAGTCCCAAAATGTAGTACAATAACAAGAGTTCACAAAATCTCTATACCAAATATAACAAACTAAGATTTTACAAAAAATATGGGACTTAATACAAAAATAGCAAAAAAAAGTCTTCTAATCCAAATTAGGCCTGTGGTGGAAAGTCATCCGCCGCTTCTTTCTCGTTTTCTGAAAAAAAGATTATTAAATAATAGGGTGAGCATAAAGCTTAGTAGGTAGCACTTAAGACACGCATCTTGTGTCCTTGTAAATCCATACAAAGAATAGATCAATAGGAATAGGAATCATACAATGTCGGGATAATACAACATTTCAACCAAACTCAAGTGCAAACAATACAATGCCATGGAATGCAAATGCATGCCGATGTCGCTCCCCATTTTCACATTTCAAACCATCACTTTCAAACTATTAATACAACCCGCCCTTTGGTGACCCCACAGCGGCACGAGAGGAGGACTGGCTATTGTCCCTAGACCTTTGGTAACCCCGCAGTGTCATCGAAGGGCCCAGATAGCTCAACCACGCTAGGGCGACTCCTTAATCCTCTCTAGGCTATATTAACACTTTGGCCCTTTGGTACCCCCGCAGCGACTGGGTTTTCATAAAACCATTTTGTAAAAACTCTTTTCCCAAAATTTCCCTTTTTGTTCCAAAACAATTTCTCCCATTTCATACCCAATGTAAATGCATGAGTGCATCAGTACCATGAATATACTCATCATTCCACAACCAACTTAATTTAAGTAAGCAAGGCATAATTTCACAAGAATTTCTCAAAGAATTTCAACATGCTCTTATATAATAATACATCCTAACGAACATATATAAATCATCACATAGGCAAGTTTTCCACATAAAACATTTAATACAAGCTCTCACATAACCACATGCACATGTTCTAACTACTTCTAAACTACAACTAGCACAAATAAGCATGTCCTGCAACAATTTAGAAGATGTAATTCACATAGGAGTAAGAAAATTGTGGATTAAGAGCCCCTACCTCTAAATTGAACAAAACACTTGAAAGTGGGTCTCTAAACTCGAATGCACAAATGAGCACCAAAACTAAAATTGTTGGTACAACCGCGTAAAGCTCATCGTGGGCTTCGTTTGGCCTCAAATGGTACTTTAAAACACTAAGAGATGAGGGACTAATCAAGCCTTGAATTTGTAAACTAAAAAAAAAAAAACAAAGAGACTGCCGAGAGGAAGACACAGAGATACAGAGATGGGAGAAAGAATGAGATAGCAGAGCAAACAAATGTGGTCTTATGACCACTAAAATAATTGTGGGTCCCTCCACTAACCCATTCTTTAATATACATATATATATAAAAATTAAAAAAAAAAAAAAACTTAAACATTACAATTTCATTTTAAGAATTCACATGCACTTTTTGCTTTTTTCTATTACAAATCATTTTCCATGATGTGATTATAACATTAGATGAAAAAGTAACATAGAAAGTGTTCCGGTCCATTTTCATACCAGTCGGCTTTTGTAATTATCTTTCTAGTATTAATGTTAGGGTTAAGTGCATAAAACTTCTCTGTAATATAGTTTATGAGCACAATCAGTCCCTCCTTTTTGAAAATGTGTATTTCGGTCCATAATATTTTTAAAAAAAGTGCAAATAAGCCCGACTACTTTTTGACGAAAAGCAAATCTGAAAACCCAATTTAACCCTTTTTTATTCCTATTTTATCCCTCACATAATGTACATACATTTTTGGGTTAAAATCACAAAACCCTCCCCTCTACTTTCAAATTTGTGCATAAAACCCCCAATAAAATTGAATTTGTCTTTAAAAATTACATTGACACCTAAGGTGACATAATTTAGTAAGACTTTTTGGTCCAAAAAAAAAAAATGAGGTCTTTTATTTAATTATTGCATTTAGATTCATAATATTTTTAAAAAATTGAATAAAAAATTATTTTTTAATATATAAAAATATATATAGTTCTTTGGCTTTACAAAATATATAGTTGAAAAAATTCTTAATAAGGCTTACTTTTTTGCTCTAAAGACAATTAAGTTTTGCAAATTTTTCAAAAAGAGAAAGAAATTCTATTCTGAAAAATATTTCCGAACAAGTTTAGATTTTGTTTTACAAATTTTTCAAAAAGATAAAGAAATCCTATCTGAAAAATATTTTCAAACAAGATCAGATTTTGTATATTATAATTTTTTTTTTCATTATTACCCTTCCCAAACAGTTTTTGTGCCTTTTTCTTCATCCCCTTTCCAAACAATTACATCTCCCTCCTCCTTTTCGTCCCTAACGACCTTGTCGACTCTCTCACCGCCAACCGCTCCATCGCCGCCCTCTGGCTCGACATCCACATCATCCCTTTCTACCCCAGGCACGAATATTAGCCATCTCCGTCAGCACCGATGTCCTCGACTATAATGTCTCAGAGTTTTCTAAATTTTTTTGAATTTTTATTTTATTTATTTTTTGCCCCTCATTTTGTGTGCCACGCGGGTCCTGAGGACCTTTTTGTCATTTTTCGAGATGAGGTTTTTAGAAATGTATTTTTAATCATTTTAAGTTAATTAGAAATGATGGTGTCATTTTTATTTTTATTTTTAGAAGTCGGGACGATTTCCGGGTTCGAGAACTTCTCCCAGTTTTGCCATCTTCAGTGAAGAGTATTGTGGACATTTCACACACATACATATCTATATGTAAGTATATATTAGAAGATATTTTGTGGGATATGGAAGGGATTGTATGGAAAGGGAAAGGGCATAATGGTAACTTAGCACACATTAGTAAACCAACATTTAATGACAAGTGGCACAGTAATGGCCATGGATCAAAAGCAAAACAAATCCACCACCCCTTTTCTTCCTCTCATTCAGCATAACACATTCCCTCTCTCTAACCCTTCTCTTTCTCTCTCTATATTTATCTATATACATTAAATGTCTTCCACACTTCAAGATTAATCTTGGAGAGATTAAAATAAGATTTTGATAAAGCCATAGGAGGAGAAGTTGATGAGCTTGATGAGAGCTTTCATTTGAGACCAATATTGCAAAGGGTTAAGGATTTTGAAATTTGGGGCTTGGCATAAGGGCTTGTTTGGCTTACTTCTTGAGGTAGGGATTTCTAATGCTTCAAAGCTTTGCCTTTTGTTGAGCAATTTGCTCTTGATTTCTTATTTATTCTATGTTAAAAGCAAGTTATGTGATTATATGATTGTATGGTAATTGAAGATGATGATGTGTTGATATGATTGAAGGCATGCTAGTGATTGAGATAAAAATGTGTCAACATTTATTTATATGATAAATATGTGTATAACATGCCTTTGTGCAAAGTTGTCTAAATTGCAAATGCTAGCATGATCTATGATGCTGTGAGATTTTATAATAAGCATGCTTGTGGTTAATTAAAATGAGATATCATTCTTGTGTTCATTTCTTAGAAGAATGCCATGTTGAGATTTTATTGTAGAAAGTAATATGTACGGCCATTGTTATTGGTTTGACGAAATTGACACTAAATTATTGAAATGAGGCATATGCATA